GAGGGGGGAGTGAGTGAGGGGGGAGTGAGTGAGGGGAGAGGGGAGGGAGTGTAGGAGGGGGAGGGAGTGTAGGAGGGTGGGGAGTGGAGAGTGAGTGAGGGGGAGAGAGTGAGTGAGGGAGTGAGGGAGGGGGAGTGAGGGAGGGAGTGAGGGAGAGGAGGAGTGGGGAGTGAGTGAGTGAGTGGGGAGAGGGAGGGAGGAGGAGGAGAAAGGTGCTGGTCTGGCACAGCCCTGTAACAGTGTGTGTGGGTGCGAGAGAGGGACGGGAAACGATGAAGGATGAGGTGGATTGCTCCGCTTGTCCTGGGGTGCAACATGTTAATGGTGTGTGCGCTCCATTCACTGCTTTTTAATGTAGGGAGGATTGGCCACTGGGTTGTGTCCGATTGGCCTGTTCTGGTGTGTCAAATTGTGTACCACAAGTACCGGGCGTCCAGTTGGGTCAGTCACCATTCACTGAAGAGTTCTGAAGGTTCATTCTGAAGGTCGTACATGTACTGTACACTGTACTGTACATGAACACCAACTACAGTAGCTAATAAATGGGTCAAAGAGAAAGCAGCTACAGTGTCGCATTGGTGTGTGATCCATAAAACAACTATATGTGGCTGGACAACCAGGCATAATGCGCAGTATCTTAAGGGTATGTTTGTTCTCGGGTCCACTTCTATATTTCCAGTGTGTTTCGTACACACAAACATTGTCATCACAGTAGCTTTTGTTTTTTAGCGAGACCCCACACGCATTATCACAGTGAATGAACACCTGATCTGGAGTCACTAATCGCATTATTTTGCAGCCTCCTCGTCAATGTGACAATTACCAGAGTGAGTGGAGATGCTGCCGGAGTTTAAGGAATCTCTTTCATCACTACTATGCGTACGGAGAGATACCTTCGTGTCAGCAGTGGAAAAGCGACTACATGAACTGCGTGGAATGGGAAAAGCACAAGTCTCAAGAGGCTAAGGTGAGGGCTAGAAAAAGATCGTATTAAATATAACTTGCTTTTACGTCTCCCACAAAATATACAGTTAATTCACTTTCCAGTACATTCTATGAAGTGCTTTGAGATGTGATAAGGTGCTATATCAAATGCAAGGTTTATCATTATTATAATATATCTTGTGAAGTGCTGTGTGTCATCTCAACAAAGTGAAAAGGAGCTACATCAAATGCAAGGATTATTATAGATTATATTGCTGTCTAAGGGCTCTGTGATGTCTCACCTGGTAAAGCCACAGCCAGAGCCCAATATAAAACAGATGTAGAGACCAGGAAGATCATAGGTTCAATCTTGATTCTGAGTTAGTAGACTTCAACTGGGTGGCAATCAGGGTGTTACAGTTGGCCACGGTACCCCTGGATTGGGAGAAGGGAACAATCAACTGATTATTATTCAGTGCAGTGATCCCTTTTGGTTAATATTTGGACACTAGGAGGAAAATTCCACCCAACATTGCATACAATTGGCTCAACATTGGCAGAACGGGCAGGGGAAATGAAGTAGCCTGAAGGGGAGGAGTGCCACAGGAAATTGCGGTGATTGTGTGGTGCAAGGCTGTGGAGGCATTGAAGGTGATGACAATTTTAAAGTTGACCCACTGGAGAATAGGGAGGGAGCAGTGGAGCTGTGGGAGGATGGGCTGTGGAACCTGATGAGTGAGTCTGTTCGGCCTTTGGCGTTCTGTGCGTTTCAGAGTTTGTGGAGTTGGGAGCCCAGTGAGAAGGCTGCAGGAAAAGTTGACTAAGACTGGGTGTAACAAAAGCATTGGGGCTGATGTAATGGAGGTGGCAGGTGATGTTGCAGAGATGGAAGTAAGTGGACTTCATCAGCACTCAGATGAAAGATTTCAAGGAGTTGAGGTTTCACAGTTTAATTTCCGCACAGGCTCCATGGGAGCAACTATAAGGGTGTAACGATCAGTGCATAATGTGAGGAGACACTGACGGAGGTCGAGCAGGATCGCCTTAGTTTCATAATAATACTTGCATTTGATATAGCTCTTTTCACGTCTTTTAGACGTCTCAAAGCACTTCACAGAACATACTGTAAAGTGAATTGACTGTATATTTGTGGATGAAACTCGACAGCCAATTGAGCACAACAATGTCCCACAAACAGTCGTGGATTGAGTAACCAAATTATTTTTTTTAGAGTTTGTTATCCTCGGAAAAGCGATCCGCCAATTGACTAACAACCGGGTTCCCACTTACTGCTAGGTAAACAGAGGCGTGTGGAGTAAGGAAACTTGCCCAACATTTCGCCCTGCCTTGAATACAACCCAGGTCTCTCGCTTGCGAGGCGAATGCTCTAACCACTGAGCTACAGGAGTCCACGAATTGGGGACCTCATTAGGCAGGTTCAGTTAGTTTTACCTAGATTCAATTATCAAATAACCTGTCACCTTTCCTCATGGTATAGGATTACACGTGAAGAATGGCCACTTGGGTCTTAATGAATTCCCAACCTAGAGAGAAACTCACCCATGTAAAGTAGAAATGGAGAGAAATGTATTGCTTGTAAAGTACTGCAGGAAAAAAATCAAACAACATTTTTATGTGACAAATGTGGATTTAATTTTTTTTTAACTGGTCAAGAGTTCTTGTTTGTCTCCTCCTCCTTCCCCAAAGACTGACCATTCAGCTAAAAGATGCTCTTAACTTAGAAGCAAAAGTTTTACATTTTTCTCTTCTTAAAATGTTTTAAATATTCAGAAAGCTTTACTGGAGAGTGAGCGGAAAAGAGTGAAAGACCAGAAGAGATACTCGCCAGTCTGGAAACTGAGGAAGAACCCGCCAGCTGACTGGCACCTGCCGCTTAATGACAGTCAGCAGAAATAAAGGACAGTCCATCGTGCCTTGTGCCACCACTTGTCAAAAGGATGCAGGGATACAGTGCAATGACACTGCCTATGTGCTTCACTGCTGTGCAGTCCAGAACAACTGGGTTCAGGGTAATCTAACTTGGAACTTCCATCTGCCACAGTTTCTACCTACTGGCCAAGACTATTTCCATAGGGAGTAAAGTGGAGTTGGTACACTTGCCTTGGATTAGAAGAACAATATGCTTTTTCAGAAAGTATTCTGTAAATGAATATAGATGTCTCCTAGGAATCAAGTTAAACGACTATTTGCACTATATTTTTGATGGGTGGAGTCTGAAGGTGCAACATCAGCGCAGACTCGACTCCTACACGTTGACCTGTCCACGCTTTGCCTCACGGCTGGACCTCCCCTCGCATCCTCCACAACTGCGTCATTCAGAACTCTGCAGCTGTTATCCCGCACCAGGCTTGGACCCATCACCCACCTCGCCGCTCCACTGGCTCCCATCCCCAGAGGATTGATTCAAGATCCTATCCTCACCTCAACCATGGCCTTGCTCCCCACCCTCACCTCTACCCCCTACCTACCTGCCCTACCCTCTTCTGGCTGTCTTCACGTCCCCGCCCCACGCCCTACCATCGGTGTCGGCCTTCAGCTCTGCCCCAGCTCTGGAACTCCATCCCCCATCTTGCCTTGCTCCTCTTCCCCACGGTCAATCTTTGAGGCCTAGTCCTGCTCTCCCCCGCCCTTCATACGCCATTCCCTGTTCCCTACCCTGACATTCCCCCCCCCTCCCCCACCGACACCCGCTGGATTACACTGCAGCCACGTTCTGAGTGAAGCTAGGATCTTTTGTTTTGTTAATTGTTGACGGTAAATTAGAGGACCCTTACAGTTGGGAAAGAGAGAATTAAAAAGATAATCCTGGCAGCCAGGGGCAACTGGGTCAGAAATATTAGTAGAGCTATTTTTTTTGGTCAGCTGGGTGTCTGACACGTGTAGAAACCCATCACCATGCTTGAGCATCCAAACTGAACAGAGCTACAATACAATATAATACAAAATTACATTTGTTTAGCGCCTTTCACGTCAGGAGGGCATCCCAAGGTGCTGGACAGTCAGGGATTTGGACCCGAGCGGAAGGAGGATTTGGAATCAGGGAGGGTGGAGAGTAGGAAGATGGCCAAAGGTGTGGTCGAAAGAGGATGTTGAGACATGCCTTCAAGGAGGCAAGGGAAGGAGTGAGGCGAAGGCAATGTGGGATGGAGTTTCACAGGGTGGGGCAGAGAGGCTGAAGGCCTGATGGTGGGGCAGACCAGGTGGGGGATGTGGAGGCTGCTGAGAGGAGGGAGCGGACTGGTTGATATGGGGTTAGCAGGTCACAGAGGTAGGAAGGGCCAAGGCCGTGGAGCTCCGTGCATCCCACCTATACATGAAAATTCCTGAGGTATTTATTGGAATGGAATGCACATTCTCTCCCGGTTCTGCTTGCCTAATAATGGAGAATATTTACCACAGGTTGGCAAGGGCCAAGGCTTGGGGACCCCAGAGTGTTGGGGTACTGCTGGAGTTTAACCAGCTTAAACCTCTTAGCCTGCCATTGAGAGCACTGCTAGCAAGCTATCCCACTGCTTGTCCAGCTAAGATAACCCTACATAAGAACGTAAGAAATGCTAGACGTAAAAGACCAAGGACCATCTAGTTTGCCTTCCACCTTCATGGCGGTTGCATGCACATATGTCCCTAACTACCTATGTACTATATCCCATGTTATTTCCTAAAAGAACGCTATCTAATCTGTGTTTGAAGGAATCAACATTTTCTGCTTCAACCGTCTCCCTCGGGAGCCTATTCCATAGGTTCAATATTCGCTCACTGAAATAGTGTTTCCATAGATTCATTCTGAATTTACCCCTTCAATCGCAGGCCGTGTCCTCTGGTTTTACTATTCTGGACAAGTTGAAACAGCCTGTCATGATCTAGATTGTTTTGCCCCTTTAGAATCTTAGAAGATTGCAATCATGTCGCCTCTCAATCTTCTCTTTTCCAGCGTGAACATGTCGCTACTTAGTCGCTCCTCCTAGTCCAGTCCCTTCATTGCCTCAATCATTTTGGTTGCCCTCCTCTGTATCCTCTCAATTTCTTATATTCTTTTTTACTGCGGCGACCAGAACTGTAAATAGTACCCTAAGTACGGTCTCACCAATGATTCATACAGTGGAAAAATTACCTCACTATTCCGGCTTGCTCTTGATCTTTTAATACATCCTAACATCTGGTTTGCTTTACTCACTGCCACAGAGCATTGTTGCGAGAGCTTCAATTTATTGTCAATCAGGACCCCCAGGTCCTTTTCATTCACATGCCTACAGTAACAGCTCATTGAATGTACACTTGTCAGCATCTCTTAATTTTATTTACGTAGAAAAAAAAATCACAAAGGGCAATCAAAATCTCTCGACATTTCAAACAGGTCACTGTTTGTATACCTTTGTGATGTTATTATATTTGCCCTCAGGGGCCTGAAAGCCAGGTATAGGCGGAGTAAAGCTGGGCCCTTGTAACTCTAATGGAAATAGTCCTTCGTCCCGTTCAATGGCAGCTTGGTACAACTCCTCTGATTCCAGACGCAGTTCCTGTAGTGCTTCCTGCTGAGCCTCCACCATGGACTGAATCATTTCCTTTTCTTCTTTGTGCTGCTTATGTTTATGCCGTGACCATTCCTTCATCAGAAGTGCTCGTCTCTCGATCTCTTCTATGGTCAGTTCAGGAGGGTCTCGGACTCTGTCAGTGCAAACAACATATTAAAGGATGTGTTATATGTTTAGTCATCACTATAAATTACCTATGGTTGACAGCATTTGCGTCTGAACTGGAATAATCTACCTAGATCAAAAGATTCATCTCCCGACAGTTTAGAAGATAATATCCACCACTTTCCTTCTCCTATAATAACAAAAATCCTTGCATTTGATATAGCACCTTATCACGTCTTCGAGACGTCTCAAAGCGCTTCACAGAATGTAAAGTGAATTGACTGTATATTTTGTGGGCGTAACGCGACAGCCAATTGCACACAGCAGTGTCCTACAAAGAGTCGTGGATCAAGTGACCAATTTATTATTTATTTATTTTTAAACATTATTACCCTAAAAAAGCGATCCGCCAATCGACTAACAACCAGGTTACTACTCACTGCTTGGTAAACATTTGTGTGTGGACTAACGAAACTTGCCCAACATTTTGCTCTGCTGGGAATCAAACCCAGGTCTCTCACTTGTGAGGCGAATGCTCTAAACACTGAGCTGCAGGACCCCACTACCTCTTTCTCCCCCACCCCCCCCAACCACTCTTTCCCTTATTTTGGTCAATTTTCCTCATCTCAGTTTCCTCTAACATGGCCACAAAGCTTCCTTTGTGCCATCTGCGTTTCCAATCGATCAACATCTACACCACGGGAGAGAAAGATGCTTTCTAACAATGATGCTAGCTGCTAACTAAAAACAGTTGAATTTCTGTCTCCAATGATCATGGACTATCAACAACAACTCACCTAGATTCATCAAGGTATTTTGAAGGAGTGATGAAATCCTCGATTGGGATCAACTCTGGAGGAACACGTTCCAGTTTCTTTAGCTTTTTCTTCAGACGATCTTTCGCTGCTTGATCCCTCCTTGGATCCACTTTCTTCTTTTCCTGGGTTCAGCTCTGTGAATAAAGTCCAAGGCACATAATAGTTGAAGATTTTTGGAGGCCTATCCCTTCTCCCCAACCCCCATCGTTGCTCACTCATCACTTCCCAGGCAAGAAGACAGATAGAAGACCTGCTGGCAGTTTTCCAGATATTCCACTTTTAATCTGGTTCCCAGGAAGCCTAATGTATTCCCATGATGAGGAAAACACCATTCTGGTCATGAGGGATTCATGGGGACATTATGCAACATCACTCTCTTTAACTCCCAGTGCTACCAGAGCAAGGAACAGAATAAACAGAACAAATAGTCCCTCATATCCTCCCCACCCCATCGGCAGCCATGCTTTCAGCAACCAAGCCCTAAAACGATGGAACTTCCTGCCTCAATCCCTCTGCTTTGTCTCCTCTTTGCCTGTCTTCTGATCGCACCTGAAGACCTTCCTCTTCAACGGTGCCTTCCTTGGTCACCTCCCTTTCTCCCCGACTCGGTGTCAAGCTCATTGAGCAGTCCGAGATGCTATCCTGTGTGAAGGGTGCTATATAAACCCGAGTTGTTGTTATTAACTAGATATATATTCCTGATCATTTAAGATATTACTATTTTTAATATAACTTTCATTTATATAGTATTATTAACATTTTAAAAACATCTCAAAGCATTTTACAAAATATAATTCTACCAGAAACGTCCCATAAACAACAATGAATAAGTGGCCAAAACATTTGAAATGCTGGTGGGTAAATTATACTAAGGAGGGAAAATATAAACCTGAATAACTGGGAGAAACTCTTCACGTTTCTTTGAAAAAAACAGGAAGGCAGTCAGTCACCTACATCATAAAATAGACAGAACCCAAAATTACTAACATTATCAAAGAATGGGATGATGATCTTGAAACAAATAATAAAACTATCAACTGGATAGCTAAGGAAAGCTATTACCTGTGTGACTATAGAACAGACACTTATCTGTAAATCATACAGTAAGAAGAGCACTGCTGTACACACACAGGTCGCTCTGCATGCAATGTGTATTCCACGTTATATACTATACCTCATGGGTAAGGATTCTCTGAGCGCCAACATGGACATCTGCCAATGACCACATCGAACTGGAGCAATCCATGTTGCACGGGGGCTTTAGGAGAAGAAACAATGATATTCAAGATTTCATATAAATGAAATTCACACTCACACGAGTCTTAAGTAAGTCTGCGTTTGATCGGTAATGTGTCTTCAATTATTTCTTCATTACACTTTTTTAAAATTTATGAAATAAATCAAGAAATATTCAATCAAGAACATGTATTTTTGCTGACCGACAATAAAGGTTGGCCACCACTGCTTTCAATTGAGGTCCCTGTTCTACACAGTCACTGCACTTTGCAGTATATCCCAGAAAGCACTTTCCTGAGGTTGAAGGGCTCTATATGAGCTACAGTGGAGTCCTGTTGCTCAGTGGTTAGAGCACTTGCAAGCGAGCGACTCGGGGTTCGATACCCGGCAGGTCAGGGCGAAACCCTGGGCGAGTTTCCTTACTCCACGCACCTGACAGTAACCCCTCAGGAAAAATATAAACAAATAATAATTTGGTCACTTCAATCCACGACTGTTTGTGTGTGTGTGTGTGTGTGTAGGGGTGTGTGTGTGTGGGGGGGTGGGGTGTGTGTGTGGGGGTGTGTGTGTGGGGAGGGGGGTGTGTACACACACACCCCACAACACCCCCACCCCCTTACACAACCCACCCCCACCCCCCCCCCCCACACACCCCCCACCACCCCACACACACCACCCACACACCCCACACACCACACACCCCCACACACACACCCCAACCCACACACCCACACACCCCCACACACCCACACACACACACACCCCACACACACACCACACACCCCACACACACACCCACACCCACACACACACCACCCAACACACACACACCCACCACACACCCCACAGTCACCACACACACACACACACACACACCCCCACACCCACACACACACCCCCACACCCCCCCCCACACCACACACACCCCACTCCCACACACCCCCCCACACACCCACACACCCCCACACACACACACACCCCCACACACCCCCCCCCCACACACACACACCCCACACCTCCCCCCCACACACACCCCACCCCACACACACACACACCCCACACACACACCCCACACACCCACACACACACCACAGACACACACACACCCACACACTCCCACACACACACCTCCCCCCCACACACACACACCCCCACCCCCCCCCCCACACCACACCCCACACCACACCACCCCACACACACCCCCACACTACCCCACCACACACACACACAACCCCACACACCACACACACACCCCCACACACACCCACCACCCCCCTCACACAACCACACACACACACACACCCACACACACCCCTCACACACACACACACACCCACACACAGACACACACCCACACACACACCCCCACACACACACACCCACACCCCCCCCCACACACACACACACCACCACACCCCCACACACCCCCCCCCCACACACACACACACCCACACCCCCCCTCACACACACCCACACACACACCCTCACACACACCCACACACACCCCCCCACCACACACCCCCCCCACACACACACACACACCCCCACACACCCACCACCCCCCTCACACACACACCCCCACCCCCTTACACACACACCCCACCCCACACACCCCCCCCCCACACACCCCCACCCCCACCCCCACCCCCCAACACACACACCCCTACACACACAACACACCACACAAACAGTCGTGGATTGAAGTGACCAAATTATTATTTGTTTATATTTTTCCTGAGGGGTTACTGTCAGGTGCGTGGAGTAAGGAAACTCGCCCAGGGTTTCGCCCTGACCTGCCGGGTATCGAACCCCGAGTCGCTCGCTTGCAAGTGCTCTAACCACTGAGCAACAGGACTCCACTGTAGCTCATATAGAGCCCTTCAACCTCAGGAAAGTGCTTTCTGGGATATACTGCAAAGTGCAGTGACTGTGTAGAACAGGGACCTCAATTGAAAGCAGTGGTGGCCAACCTTTATTGTCGGTCAGCAAAAATACATGTTCTTGATTGAATATTTCTTGATTTATTTCATAAATTTAAAAAAAATGTAATGAAGAAATAATTGAAGACACATTACCGATCAAACGCAGACTTACTTAAGACTCGTGTGAGTGTGAATTTCATTTATATGAAATCTTGAATATCATTGTTTCTTCTCCTAAAGCCCCCGTGCAACATGGATTGCTCCAGTTCGATGTGGTCATTGGCAGATGTCCATGTTGGCGCTCAGAGAATCCTTACCCATGAGGTATAGTATATAACGTGGAATACACATTGCATGCAGAGCGACCTGTGTGTGTACAGCAGTGCTCTTCTTACTGTATGATTTACAGATAAGTGTCTGTTCTATAGTCACACAGGTAATAGCTTTCCTTAGCTATCCAGTTGATAGTTTTATTATTTGTTTCAAGATCATCATCCCATTCTTTGATAATGTTAGTAATTTTGGGTTCTGTCTATTTTATGATGTAGGTGACTGACTGCCTTCCTGTTTTAATTTCAAAGAAACGTGAAGAGTTTCTCCCAGTTATTCAGGTTTATATTTTCCCTCCTTAGTATAATTTACCCACCAGCATTTCAAATGTTTTGGCCACTTATTCATTGTTGTTTATGGGACGTTTCTGGTAGAATTATATTTTGTAAAATGCTTTGAGATGTTTTTAAAATGTTAATAATACTATATAAATGAAAGTTATATTAAAAATAGTAATATCTTAAATGATCAGGAATATATATCTAGTTAATAACAACAACTCGGGTTTATATAGCACCCTTCACACAGGATAGCATCTCGGACTGCTCAATGAGCTTGACACCGAGTCGGGGAGAAAGGGGAGGTGACCAAGGAAGGCACCGTTGAAGAGGAAGGTCTTCAGGTGCGATCAGAAGACAGGCAAAGAGGAGACAAAGCAGAGGGATTGAGGCAGGAAGTTCCATCGTTTTAGGGCTTGGTTGCTGAAAGCATGGCTGCCGATGGGGTGGGGAGGATATGAGGGACTATTTGTTCTGTTTATTCTGTTCCTTGCTCTGGTAGCACTGGGAGTTAAAGAGAGTGATATTGCATAATGTCCCCATGAATCCCTCATGACCAGAATGGTGTTTTCCTCATCATAGGGAATACATTAGGCTTCCTGGGAACCAGATTAAAAGTGGAATATCTGGAAAACTGCCAGCAGGTCTTCTATCTGTCTTCTTGCCTGGGAAGTGATGAGTGAGCAACGATGGGGGTTGGGGAGAAGGGATAGGCCTCCAAAAATCTTCAACTATTATGTGCCTTGGACTTTATTCACAGAGCTGAACCCAGGAAAAAGAAGAAAGTGGATCCAAGGAGGGATCAAGCAGCGAAAGATCGTCTGAAGAAAAAGCTAAAGAAACTGGAACGTGTTCCTCCAGAGTTGATCCCAATCGAGGATTTCATCACTCCTTCAAAATACCTTGATGAATCTAGGTGAGTTGTTGTTGATAGTCCATGATCATTGGAGACAGAAATTCAACTGTTTTTAGTTAGCAGCTAGCATCATTGTTAGAAAGCATCTTTCTCTCCCGTGGTGTAGATGTTGATCGATTGGAAACGCAGATGGCACAAAGGAAGCTTTGTGGCCATGTTAGAGGAAACTGAGATGAGGAAAATTGACCAAAATAAGGGAAAGAGTGGTTGGGGGGGGGTTGGGGAGAAAGAGGTAGTGGGGTCCTGCAGCTCAGTGTTTAGAGCATTCGCCTCACAAGTGAGAGACCTGGGTTTGATTCCCAGCAGAGCAAAATGTTGGGCAAGTTTCGTTAGTCCACACACAAATGTTTACCAAGCAGTGAGTAGTAACCTGGTTGTTAGTCGATTGGCGGATCGCTTTTTTAGGGGTAATAATGTTTAAAAATAAATAAATAATAAATTGGTCACTTGATCCACGACTCTTTGTAGGACACTGCTGTGTGCAATTGGCTGTCGCGTTACGCCCACAAAATATACAGTCAATTCACTTTACATTCTGTGAAGCGCTTTGAGACGTCTCGAAGACGTGATAAGGTGCTATATCAAATGCAAGGATTTTTGTTATTATAGGAGAAGGAAAGTGGTGGATATTATCTTCTAAACTGTCGGGAGATGAATCTTTTGATCTAGGTAGATTATTCCAGTTCAGACGCAAATGCTGTCAACCATAGGTAATTTATAGTGATGACTAAACATATAACACATCCTTTAATATGTTGTTTGCACTGACAGAGTCCGAGACCCTCCTGAACTGACCATAGAAGAGATCGAGAGACGAGCACTTCTGATGAAGGAATGGTCACGGCATAAACATAAGCAGCACAAAGAAGAAAAGGAAATGATTCAGTCCATGGTGGAGGCTCAGCAGGAAGCACTACAGGAACTGCGTCTGGAATCAGAGGAGTTGTACCAAGCTGCCATTGAACGGGACGAAGGACTATTTCCATTAGAGTTACAAGGGCCCAGCTTTACTCCGCCTATACCTGGCTTTCAGGCCCCTGAGGGCAAATATAATAACATCACAAAGGTATACAAACAGTGACCTGTTTGAAATGTCGAGAGATTTTGATTGCCCTTTGTGATTTTTTTTNCTACGTAAATAAAATTAAGAGATGCTGACAAGTGTACATTCAATGAGCTGTTACTGTAGGCATGTGAATGAAAAGGACCTGGGGGTCCTGATTGACAATAAATTGAAGCTCTCGCAACAATGCTCTGTGGCAGTGAGTAAAGCAAACCAGATGTTAGGATGTATTAAAAGATCAAGAGCAAGCCGGAATAGTGAGGTAATTCTTCCACGGTATGAATCATTGGTGAGACCGTACTTAGGGTACTATTTACAGTTCTGGTCGCCGCAGTACAAAAAGAATATAAGAAATTGAGAGGATACAGAGGAGGGCAACCAAAATGATTGAGGCAATGAAGGGACTGGACTAGGAGGAGCGACTAAGTAGCGACATGTTCACGCTGGAAAAGAGAAGATTGAGAGGCGACATGATTGCAATCTTCTAAGATTCTAAAGGGGCAAAACAATCTAGATCATGACAGGCTGTTTCAACTTGTCCAGAATAGTAAAACCAGAGGACACGGCCTGCGATTGAAGGGGTAAATTCAGAATGAATCTATGGAAACACTATTTCAGTGAGCGAATATTGAACCTATGGAATAGGCTCCCGAGGGAGACGGTTGAAGCAGAAAATGTTGATTCCTTCAAACACAGATTAGATAGCGTTCTTTTAGGAAATAACATGGGATATAGTACATAGGTAGTTAGGGACATATGTGCATGCAACCGCCATGAAGGTGGAAGGCAAACTAGATGGTCCTTGGTCTTTTTACGTCTAGCATTTCTTACGTTCTTATGTAGGGTTATCTTAGCTGGACAAGCAGTGGGATAGCTTGCTAGCAGTGCTCTCAATGGCAGGCTAAGAGGTTTAAGCTGGTTAAACTCCAGCAGTACCCCAACACTCTGGGGTCCCCAAGCCTTGGCCCTTGCCAACCTGTGGTAAATATTCTCCATTATTAGGCAAGCAGAACCGGGAGAGAATGTGCATTCCATTCCAATAAATACCTCAGGAATTTTCATGTATAGGTGGGATGCACGGAGCTCCACGGCCTTGGCCCTTCCTACCTCTGTGACCTGCTAACCCCATATCAACCAGTCCGCTCCCTCCTCTCAGCAGCCTCCACATCCCCCACCTGGTCTGCCCCACCATCAGGCCTTCAGCCTCTCTGCCCCCACCCTGTGAAACTCCATCCCACATTGCCTTCGCCTCACTCCTTCCCTTGCCTCCTTGAAGGCATGTCTCAACATCCTCTTCGACCACACCTTTGGCCATCTTCCTACTCTCCACCCTCCCTGATTCCAAATCCTCCTATCCGCTCGGGTCCAAATCCCTGACTGTCCAGCACCTTGGGATGCCCTCCTGACGTGAAAGGCGCTAAACAAATGTAATTTTGTATTATATTGTATTGTAGCTCTGTTCAGTTTGGATGCTCAAGCATGGTGATGGGTTTCTACACGTGTCAGACACCCAGCTGACCAAAAAAAATAGCTCTACTAATATTTCTGACCCAGTTGCCCCTGGCTGCCAGGATTATCTTTTTAATTCTCTCTTTCCCAACTGTAAGGGTCCTCTAATTTACCGTCAACAATTAACAACAACAACAACAACAAGATTCCATTTATAAAGCGCCTTTCACGTCAGGAGGACGTCCCAAGGCGCTGCACAGTTGGGTAATGACCCGAGCAGGGGGGAAATGGTCAGGGTGAGGGGAGGGAAGGGAGGGAGCGAGGAGGGGGGAAATGGTCAGGGTGAGGGAAGGGAGGGAGCAAGGAGGGGGAAATGGTCAGGGTGAGGTGAGGGGAGGGAGGGAGCGAGGAGGGGGAAGAGAGTCGAGAGGGGAGCTGAAGGCACGGTCAAAGAGAAAGGTTTTGAGACCGGCCTTGAAGGAGGAAAGGGAGGAAGCAAGGCGAAGGCACTGGGGGATGGAGTTCCAGAGCCTGGGGGCTGAGAGGCTGAAGGCCCGACCACCGATGGTAGGGCGGTTGGGGCGGGGGACGTGGAGCAGACCAGAGCCAGAGGAACGGAGGGTACGGGCAGGTAGGTAGGGGGATAGTAGGTTGGAGAGGTAGGAGGGAGCAAGGCCGTGAATGGCCTTGTAGGTGAGGATGAGGATCTTGAAATCAATCCTCTGGGGATGGGGAGCCAGTGGAGGCGAGCGAGGGTGGGAGTGATGTGGTCCCGAAGCCTGGTGCGGGACAGTACACGAGCTGCAGAGTTCTGAATGACCTGCAGCTTGTGGAGGGAGGTGGCGGGAAGGCCGGCGAGGAGAGAGTTCCCATAGTCCAGCCTTGAGGTGACAAAGGCGTGGACCAGGGTTTCAGCAGCGTGAGGGGTGAGGTAGTGCCGTAGTCTGGCGACTGATGTTGCTACCATTCATTGCACTGCTTCCACACCAGCCTCAAAAAAGAATATGAGAAATGTCTAAAAATTAGTCAGATAAAATTAATAGGAGACGTTTATGATTTAACACTGAGGGAGACAACAGTGCCTCAATAACATTCATTGTTTACTAGTATCATTATACTTATTAAACCTGAAAAAGCATATTGTTCTTCTAATCCAAGGCAAGTGTACCAACTCCACTTTACTCCCTATGGAAATAGTCTTGGCCAGTAGGTAGAAACTGTGGCAGATGGAAGCTTCCAAGTTAGATTACCCTGAACCCAGTTGTTCTGGACTGCACAGCAGTGAAGCACATAGGCAGTGTCATTGCACTGTATCCCTGCATCCTTTTGACAAGTGGTGGCACAAGGCACGATGGACTGTCCTTTATTTCTGCTGACTGTCATTAAGCGGCAGGTGCCAGTCAGCTGGCGGGTTCTTCCTCAGTTTCCAGACTGGCGAGTATCTCTTCTGGTCTTTCACTCTTTTCCGCTCACTCTCCAGTAAAGCTTTCTGAATATTTAAAACATTTTAAGAAGAGAAAAATGTAAAACTTTTGCTTCTAAGTTAAGAGCATCTTTTAGCTGAATGGTCAGTCTTTGGGGAAGGAGGAGGAGACAAACAAGAACTCTTGACCAGTTAAAAAAAAATTAAATCCACATTTGTCACATAAAAATGTTGTTAGATTTTTTNCCTGCAGTACTTTACAAGCAATACATTTCTCTCCATTTCTACTTTACATGGGTGAGTTTCTCTCTAGGTTGGGAATTCATTAAGACCCAAGTGGCCATTCTTCACGTGTAATCCTATACCATGAGGAAAGGTGACAGGTTATTTGATAATTGAATCTAGGTAAAACTAACTGAACCTGCCTAATGAGGTCCCCAATTCGTGGACTCCTGTAGCTCAGTGGTTAGAGCATTCGCCTCGCAAGCGAGAGACCTGGGTTGTATTCAAGGCAGGGCGAAATGTTGGGCAAGTTTCCTTACTCCACACGCCTCTGTTTACCTAGCAGTAAGTGGGAACCCGGTTGTTAGTCAATTGGCGGATCGCTTTTCCGAGGATAACAAACTCTAAAAAAAATAATTTGGTTACTCAATCCACGACTGTTTGTGGGACATTGTTGTGCTCAATTGGCTGTCGAGTTTCATCCACAAATATACAGTCAATTCACTTTACAGTATGTTCTGTGAAGTGCTTTGAGACGTCTAAAAGACGTGAAAAGAGCTATATCAAATGCAAGTATTATTATGAAACTAAGGCGATCCTGCTCGACCTCCGTCAGTGTCTCCTCACATTATGCACTGATCGTTACACCCTTATAGTTGCTCCCATGGAGCCTGTGCGGAAATTAAACTGTGAAACCTCAACTCCTTGAAATCTTTCATCTGAGTGCTGATGAAGTCCACTTACTTCCATCTCTGCAACATCACCTGCCACCTCCATTACATCAGCCCCAATGCTTTTGTTACACCCAGTCTTAGTCAACTTTTCCTGCAGCCTTCTCACTGGGCTCCCAACTCCACAAACTCTGAAACGCACAGAACGCCAAAGGCCGAACAGACTCACTCATCAGGTTCCACAGCCCATCCTCCCACAGCTCCACTGCTCCCTCCCTATTCTCCAGTGGGTCAACTTTAAAATTGTCATCACCTTCAAATGCCTCCACAGCCTTGCACCACACAATCACCGCAATTTCCTGTGGCACTCCTCCCCTTCAGGCTACTTCATTTCCCCTGCCCGTTCTGCCCAATGTTGAGCCCAATTGTATGCAATGTTGGGTGGAATTTTCCTCCTAGTGTCCAAATATTAACCAAAAGGGATCACTGCACTGAATAATAATCAGTTGATTGTTCCCTTCTCCCCAATCCAGGGGTACCGTGGCCAACTGTAACACCCTGATTGCCACCCAGTTGAAGTCTACTAACTCAGAATCAAGATTGAACCTATGATCTTCCTGGTCTCTACATCTGTTTTATACTGGGCTCTGGCTGTGGCTTTACCAGGTGAGACATCACAGAGCCCTTAGACAGCAATATAATCTATAATAATCCTTGCATTTGATGTAGCTCCTTTTCACTTTGTTGAGATGACACACAGCACTTCACAAGATATATTATAATAATGATAAACCTTGCATTTGATATAGCACCTTATCACATCTCAAAGCACTTCATAGAATATACTGGAAAGTGAATTAACCGTATATTTTGTGGGAGACGTAAAAGCAAGTTACATTTAATACAATCTTTTTCTAGCCCTCACCTTAGCCTCTTGAGATTTGTGCTTTTCCCATTCCACACAGTTCATGTAGTCGCTTTTCCACTGCTGACACGAAGGTATCTCTCCGTACGCATAGTAGTGATGAAAGAGATTCCTTAAACTCCGGCAGCATCTCCACTCACTCTGGTAATTGTCACATTGACGAGGAGGCTGCAAAATAATGCGATTAGTGACTCCAGATCAGGTGTTCATTCACTGTGATAATGCGTGTGGGGTCTCGCTAAAAAACAAAAGCTACTGTGATGACAATGTTTGTGTGTACGAAACACACTGGAAATATAGAAGTGGACCCGAGAACAAACATACCCTTAAGATACTGCGCATTATGCCTGGTTGTCCAGCCACATATAGTTGTTTTATGGATCACACACCAATGCGACACTGTAGCTGCTTTCTCTTTGACCCATTTATTAGCTACTGTAGTTGGTGTTCATGTACAGTACAGTGTACAGTACATGTACGACCTTCAGAATGAACCTTCAGAACTCTTCAGTGAATGGTGACTGACCCAACTGGACGCCCGGTACTTGTGGTACACAATTTGACACACCAGAACAGGCCAATCGGACACAACCCAGTGGCCAATCCTCCCTACATTAAAAAGCAGTGAATGGAGCGCACACACCATTAACATGTTGCACCCCAGGACAAGCGGAGCAATCCACCTCATCCTTCATCGTTTCCCGTCCCTCTCTCGCACCCACACACACTCTTACAGGGCTGTGCCCAGACCAGCACCTTTCTCCTCCTCCTCCCTCCCTCTCTCCCACTCACTCACTCACTCCCCCACTCCCTCCCTCTCCCCTTCACTCACTCCCTCCCCCTCCCTCACTCCCCCACTCCCCCTCTCTCCCCCTCACTCACTCTCCCACTCCCCCACCCTCCTACACTCCCTCCCCCTCCTACACTCCCTCCCCCCTCTCCCCCTCACTCACTCCCCCCCCTCTCCCCCTCACTCACTCCCCCCTCCCTCTCCCCCTCACTCACTCCCCCCTCCCTCTCCCCCTCGCTCACTCCCCCCCTCTCTCTCCCCCTCACTCACTCCCCCCCTCCCTCTCCCCCTCACTCCCTCCCTCCCTCTCCCCCTCACTCCCTCCCCCCTCCCCCCCTCACTCACTCCCCCCTCTCCCCCTCACTCACTCCCCCCCTCCCTCTCCCCCTCACTCACTCCCCCTCCCTCTCCCCCTCACGCGCTCCCCCTCTCCCTCTCCCCCTCACTCACCCACTCAGTCACTCCCTCCCTCCCTCTCCCCTCACTCCCTCTCACTCCCCCTCACTCACTCCCCCACTGCCTCCTTCTCCCCCTCACTCACCCACTCCCTCCCTCTCCCCCTCACTCCCTCCCTCTCCCCTCATTCACTCCCCCACTGCCTCCTTCTCCCCTTCACTCACCCACTCCCTCCCTCTACCCCTCACTCACTCCCCCACTCACTCCCTCTCCCCTCACTCACTCCCTCTCCCCCTCACTCACTCCCCCACTGCCTCCTTCTCCCCTTCACTCACCCACTCCCTCCCTCTACCCCTCACTCACTCCCCCACTCACTCCCTCTCCCCCTCACTCACTCCCCCACTCACTCACTCACTCCCCCACTGCCTCCTTCTCCCCTTCACTCACCCACTCCCTCCCTCTACCCCTCACTCACTCCCCCACTCACTCCCTCTCCCCCTCACTCACTCCCTCTCCCCCTCACTCACCCACTCCCTCCCCCTCCCTCACTCTCCCCTCTCCCCCTCACTCTCCCCTCTCCCCCTCACTCTCCCCTCTCCCCCCTCACTCTCCCCTCTCCCCCCTCACTCTCCCCCTCCTCACTCACCCTCCAGCTCTCCTGGGCCTCCATGGCTGCACCTTTCACCCCTGTTTATCCTCCGCCCGCTGACCGGGAAAGCCGGCAGCCAATCAGCGGGAGCGCCGGGCTATTCCCCGCCCACAGGGCGTTGACTGGCGGGACTCGGAGCCAATGGCAGAGCTCCCCCTCAGCGTGCACTTTGACGGACAGCTCGAGCAACCAATCGGCGCGGAGCTGCGGCCGTTACATTGTGGAACAGTGTCGCAAGGTAGTGACCAATCAGCGTTGCAGCCCCGCCCCCCCCCCCCCCCCCCCAGGACCTGACAGCCCGGACAGGGGCACCGCCTGAGCCCTCCTCACGGGGCGCCCCACATCAATGCACTAACTCACTGTCCAGAAGGTCAACATCAACAACAACAAATTGGATTTATACAGCGCCCTCCACACCGGGCGGCGTCTCAGAGCGCTTCACAGTCACGGATCCCGGGGCCGAGCCGGGGGGAGGGGGGGGGTAGCCGGGGAGGGGGTGGGAGGGGAGGCCGGGGGGTGGGGGAGCCGGGGGGGGGGGGGGAGCCGGGGAGGGGGGGGGTTGACCAAAGGCGCGGTCGAAAAGAAAGGTCTTCAGCCGAGACCTGAAAGTAGGAAGAGAGGGGGCGAGGCGAAGGGAGCGAGGAAGGCAGTCCCAGAGCCTCAGGGCGTAGTGGCTGAAGGCACGGCCGCCGAGGGTGGAGCGGAGGACAAGGGGGACGAGGAGGGGGCCAGACCTGGAGGAATAAAAGCAACGGGTACTGTTTTGAGGAGAGAGGAGGGCAGAATACTGATCAACTGGTTCATTTTCAGTTGAAATCAGTCCATTTCACTCCATGGCTGTTTGTGGGACATTGCTGTGCACAAGTTGGCTGCTGTGTTCATGCACAAATAAGGCCCATTACCTTCGCTTCACCGGGTCTGGCCTCCTCCTTGTCTCCCGAATCCTCCGCTCCACCATCAGCTGCCGTGCCTTCAGCCACTACACCCCAAGGCTATGGAACTCTCTTCCTCCCTCCTTTCGCCTCACCCCCTCTCTTCCTATTTTCAGGTCTTGGCTGAAGATCCTTCTTTTCAACCGCGCCTTTGGTCACCTTCCGCCCCTCCCCCTCCCTCTGGCTCAGCCCCGGGATCCGTTACTGTGAAGCGCTCTGAGACTCCGGCATGGAGGGAGCTATATAAATCCAAGTTGTTGTTGTTGTAAAACACACCGTATATTCTACAGTATATCCTGTAAGGTGCTTTGGGGATGTCCTCGTGTTGTGAAAGGTGCTATAATACCAAATTTGGTAAGGAATATTATTATGATAGTATCAGGAAGGCTTGCTGAATTTTCCTTATCCCTAATACAAGGGATGCAGAATTCAGTTGTAGTGACCCACTTGAGATCAGTTCAGTATGTAAATATGCATTCATCACCTCCTGCCTCAAATTTTCCAATGCTCTCCTCGCTGCTTTCCCCAGCTTCACCATTCACAAATTCCAGTTAATTCAAAATTCCACTGCCCATATCCTCACCTGTACCAAACTCCACACCCTCATCATCTCAGTTCTTATCAGACTCCACTGGGTCCATATTCCAGAATGGATCAATTTCAAGATCCTCACAATCACATAGAAATCACTTCATGCCCTGGCACCTCAACACCTCCCTGACCTGCTTACACCCAACTGTTCTCCACAATCCCTTCACTCAGTTGGCTCTGGTCTCCAGCTGGCTCTGGTCCCCTCTGCTCCATCCTCGGCAGCTTTCATCCACTATGCCCTGAGACTCTCTGCTTCAATCCCTCTGCCTTGTTCCCTCCTTCCCATCTGAAGACACTCCACTTTTGACTGTGTCTAATGGTCACCTCCCACTTCTCCCTGGTTTAGCGTCAATCTCCACCACTGTTAACTGCTACTCTACAAGAAGGGCTCTATATAAATACAAGTTTTTGTTGTAATTACACTGATATCATGAATTGAGCGATTATGTTTAACAAGTTCTCTTTTTATTAGCATTCATCTCCATTTATACACAACAACACTACCCAACGCAACAGCAGCAACTCCTAGCATCCACTTCCATGATATACTCTGCAAAAGAAAAGTTGCATTAGAAACCAATATCAATGAGAACTTTACTATAATAATAAATATGCCAAGCCCCAAGAACCTTTTCATTCATTTACATTCAGTAACTGGACTACATGTTTCCACCATAGATTTGATCAGGGAGAAAAATAAAGTTGGACAGAGTAGCAAGTGGAGTGGTAATAATAATAATAATCCTTGCATTTGGTATAGTGCCTTGTCACATCTTCAAGATGCCTCAAAGCGCTTCACAGAATATACAGTAAAGTGGTTTGACCATATATTTTGTGAGCGAAATGCGCCAGAGTAGAGCACAATACTGTAGAGGGAAGAGGAGAGGAGTGTAAGACAGAGTTCCTGTGAACAAATCCTGTGAAGTGTTTTGAGACATCCTCCCAATGTGAATATCCATATCAAATGCAAGGATTATTTGAATACAGAATAGAGAACAAGCAATGAGAGGTCACAGCAAAGCAAGAATGACCAAGACAAATTTTGCATATGCACAGATGGATCCTAATGATACTAAATTACAGAGCAGCAAGAGACACACAATGCACACTGGGTTGTAGATAAAATAGACTATGGAGTGATCCAGCCCAATCATATATCTGTATGCTGCCTCCAAGATCCTTTTCTAAGAAGTAAAACGTGACAACGAGTTTCAAAGCAGAAGGAACTGATGCACTCAGATCATAAATACCAGAAGTTCCTCACAAAAAGATCAATTTGCAACACATATTTCTGACTTGGAAACTATGCCTATCATAACCTATCAGTGGTTGTTTCAAACCTACCATGAAGAGTGGATGCATAGATATCCTACTGTCTGATTCTGAATTCTCCAAACAGTTCAATTTTTTCTTTTTCGTCCAAGTATTAATTATAGTATCAATTTCCTGTTTAATCTCCTGGAAGCGTAAAGGATGAAACAGAGTGGCTTGGCATTATTTGGTTTGGCTTATTACACGGAATGATATGATGTGAACTGTTATTATTATATTATTACTATTATGTGATCTGTTTTGACAGGCTGTCATTACACACTCACACACAGCAATATTAAAATAATGTTAATGTGGTCTTAAAGATATTTCAATACTAAAAGAAACCATAGAATGTGAAAAGGTTATTCAGGAATTTATTGAGGAATTTATCCTCAAATTCTTTCTTCTGATCATTTTCTAATCTGCATTCCATCCCAGTTATTTAAAATCTCCTGAGGAAAAACACTGCATAATTTCTCCTTGACTCTCAAAGAATATCAAGCAAAATTCCACAGTATCTATTCATCCTACATCTCTCCGATTCAACCCTGGTTGGTTGATTCCAACAGATAGTGTTTCCTTGAGCCCGGAAAACATTGTGTTATTTTGAGTGTTTGATCCGCATTATTCCCATTCTTTTATCCTTCAGTTTTTTTCTAATTATCCAGATCTTTTCTGAAGAAGTTACTCAAAACTCGATCAACCATATTAATATCTCAAGTCAGGTATTCAGCATTTTAAGATCAAAATTACGCCCCAGTCTCAATCTTGTTTTGTTTTATTTTAAGTTCTCCTTCCTACATCAGGACTTAAACCTGTGTAGTCTGACACTCCAGTGTTGAGGTGCAAGGCATTGTTGGAGGTGCCATCCTTTAAATGAGACATTAAATTGAGGATCCATCTGCCTATTTAGATGGACTTTAACGATCCCATGGCACCATTCGAAAAGAGAAGGGAGAACCTTCCAGATTCCTGTCCACGAATCCCCCAAATAAAATTGTTTATTTGCTTTATGGTTCAATGTTTGTGGGACATTGCTGTGAGCAAATTGGCTGCTGTGTTTGTCTATAAAATACAATCATTACACTTTACAGTATATCCTGTGAAGAACTTTTAGACATTTTCCCAATATGAAAGGCAATACAATGCAAAATTACATTTGTTTAGAGCCTTTCATGTCGGGAGGATGTCCCAAGCCACTATATCTAATGCAAAGATTATTATTATTAATTCTCACGGGTGTTTTATAGCTACAAAGATTGTCTTTCTAAAGTCATCCAGAACAGTATTATTGCCTTTAGTGTTGATTACAAAATCAATTCCAATCACATAAGGATTACTCAAACCCATTTCTAGGTGATGATTAATCAGAAAATCCAGACAGATCATCATAGTCTTGTCAAGTCTGTACATTCCTAAATTCTTATGAACTAGTAAATCTAGAGCATGGTCTTGTTTTCACGAGCAAAGTTACACAACACATTCATTAACACATCATGTTTTCTATATTTGTTAGTTACAACCTGAACAAGTGTTGGATCTTTCTCTTCCTCAACAAAAAAACACACTCACTGGGTGCCCTGGCTCCACAGCTAAGGCTTTCTTTAAGAAGATAATGGAGAGGGGATACATCTGTTCCAGCGCCAATACCTGAAACAGGTGTAAAACATAATTCAATCAATGCAACCTTCAGGATTCCAACCACAAGGTGTGCACTGTTCCCATAGCATTAAGCTTATTATAGCAATGGATAATGAATTATAGCAGACAGACCTACCTTGCCCTTCCTGAATAAGGCCTTGCAATGATGGGGTTGATGTTGTAGAACAACGTCACAGCAGGATACTGTCTCCTTCAGGTTTCTTGTCTTTAAGTGGCAGGCTGCCATGTTGCTGTAACACTTTACCTTTTCTTCTAGAAATATTTTTTTCATAGCATTTAAATCATCTAAAAAAAACATTAATCCCATTAATATCTATATCAATGACAACAAACACTTAGCCTCTTCAACTCTCATTCCACATGTATTCCTGGTTTTATGATTAATTAATATACCATTAATAAATTGGTGAATTGGTCAGTGTCCCACAAACAGTTGTGGATGAAGTGAACAAATTTTTTTTTGAAGGAATTATTACCCCTGGAAAAGTGATCCACCAATTGACTAACAATCATAAGACCAAGGTCAAGAGCTTTCTCACAGAAGGGTGGGAAATGAGATTTGTGTATGTCATAAACCCCTCCCAACATCCATTACAAAGACAGTCAAGTGAGCTCAGAAGAGGAAGAGCAAACAGAGGAAATTAGATTTCCACAAAAGGAATCAGAGATTTGTGTTGGTTCCCTTACCTCATATGACTGAACCTATCCACCCAGCCTGCCAGAAGGGAATGGAATCTAGCAAACCCATGGGAAGCTTTCCCACCCCCCAATTAAATCTGTTCTTCCCCATCCCTCTAACCTTTAGCAAAAAATAACTGGAGAAAGTGACTTAAGTAAGTTGCTTATCCAGAGTTAAAATAATGTGTGAATAAAGAAAATGGGTTGAAAAGGTTCAATTCCAACTTGCTTCTCAGCTGTACTTCAGTACCTGTGAAACCTGACTCTATCATCTTCACAGCATAATTGTAGTAAACGATTGCCAGCTGATATTCTTCACTTTGGAAACAGTCATTGCCTTTCTTTCGTACTCTGCTGATTAACTCCAATTGCTCAGACTCAGATTTTTCCTCCAAACTGCGTCCAGTGACTGATAAGAGCTTCACTTCAAGGAGGAGTTTGGTTCCTGGTGGCAGACTACCATTCTGGCTGCAAAGAATGATCAGTTTTATTTTTGCTAACGGAAATATTTATCCTGAAAGTGCATATGGTATTTCCAAAGCTCATTGAGAGACATCGACTTCATGTACTGATTACCAGGATTGTTCTCATTTTGTCTGATATAAATGGCTGAGTGTCCTGTCTTATCTGTATTCACCACCATCTTTAGCTGGAATGAATTTATCATAAGGCAATAGCACTTATAATTACAACTAAAGACCAATTCCAGCCCACCTACTCTCCACAGCAGACCTGTTTTTAAGTGGAGAAAAGATCTACTCAGCCAGAAGAACAATGACCAAAGATATTATTCAATGTTCTCTCCCTCTCCCCACCTCTCTCTTTCACCTTGTTTGATAATGATGGAAAGCAAGAGAATGCGATTAGGCTTTATTTAGTATTCACCATACAAGTTTTTGAAATTTATTGATTTGTAGCCTTAATAAAATTGTCTGTGTTGTAGGTACTTTCTCCTTCCTGTAAAATGTCTACTGTCTAAATGGAAATGCCAGTAATTAAATGATTAAAATTAGGAAAATCCTATGTAAGGAATTTTGGGCCAGCCCACGTCTTATCATGTGACCTGGTCGACAAGGCTCAATCCGCTTAGGGGCTTTTTTTTTTTAAAAAATAGACTTTAGAAAAGATGCCAAATCAATGTCAGAAGGCTAATGGAGAATGGATCAAGAGATCCATTGTAAGAGATTGTAAAACTATAAGAAAAGGGCAGGTAAATGGGACTGAAAGTTTTGCTCTTAAAAGAACCAGCACAGATACGTTAGGCCGAATGGCCTTTTTCTGTGCTATAAATTTCTATCGTTCTTTGGTTCTATCATCATCAGACATGTTATTGATGCATTCAAATTGAATTAAAGCTTAGTTTAAATCCCCATTCTATTGTTAAGGAACAATTATCACTTATTGTTAATTAGTTTTGCAAAAAATCGTACCATTCTTTACTCAAGTAACAAAACTTCACATCAGCGAGGATCAGGGAGGTTTCTTCTACTTCCATTAGCGGAACACATATCTCAAGAGCCTTTGAAAGAGAAAGCAAGTTTTATGGAGAAGGGCACAATTCTACTAAAACTATACTTACTAGCAGAAAACCCAGTTGATTCAAAATTATTATAGAAGAAAGAAGAACCAACGAGGAGCTGAGACTGGATGTAAGGCAAAGCGTTGACAGATCCAACATTCTGATCCAAATTTCATCAAGCATTCCGCCTCCCTGAGGTGAACAAATTGGTCCTTCCAATATCTGCCTTTATTTCTGATTATGTTCAGGAAATAATAATAATAATCTGTGCATTTGATATAGTGCTTTTCACGTCTTCAAGACATCTCAAAGCGCTTCATAGAATATACTGTAAAGTGAATTGATTGTATATTTGTGGGCGAAACGCGGAAGCCAATTGCACACAGCATTGTCCCTCGAACAGTCGTGGATTGAAGTGACCAATCTATTATTGTTTTTTTTTCTTGAGGGATTATTACCAGGCTTTAATGGACCTCATTGTCAGTGTATGTCAGATCCACAGCATTGCATTAGTTTGGGCATCGTGAAGGGCTAAATTTCTGTCCTCCTAATTCAATGCAAGATAAAGTAAATATTGAGTCATATTACTGTAACCATTGTTTGGAGACCAACCAATTCTTTTTTCTCTTTTTTTTCCACACCTTTTGATAACTTTATGTAGGCTTCATAAGTATGATGCTGAGCTCTGAATATCCATTGATTTTAAACTCACATTGCCACTCTCCTTTTCTTCCAGGCAAAATAACTGATTCCTCCGCCCCCCCCCCCCCCCCCCCCACTCTCTCTGAAGGCACTGACTCACTGAGATATCGTTCAATGGGTTAATTTACCCTTTAGCAATCTAGAAAAAAGCATCAGCAGTCTATTACATTTTGAGGAAGGGGGGAAATCATAATGGAGACCAATTGCGTCCTCATCTGACCTGAGCTTACTTTCCAGCATGATTCACTGGATAGTGCATAAGAATCAGATGTGAGATAATGACTGATTTTTTTTTCAGTTTCCAGCTCAGGGCCACTGATGGCAATTGTTGCCCCTGATCTCCACTGTTCCCTCACCTGAGATTGGCTAACATTACCATTCACATACCTCATTGACATCACCTTCGCCTATGATGAAGCTAATATATTGGGGGTCTTCAACTTCTTTCCTATTTTCATGCATCATCTTGATCCAGATGCTGACATTCTGGCTAGGTTGAGGCTTACCCAGCTGAGCATTACCAGATTTGAGAGTTATTTTCTTCAGCAGTCCATTTCCTGCAGCAATAGGTTTACTGTGTTAACACTGTTCTCTTTGACATAGTAATCTGTTATCTTGTTGATAATTTCATGGTCCACTCACTGTACATACCAAGCACATCAATCCACCCTTCAAGGTATTGTACTGAGTCGCCGACCTCATGCTCCATGTCACAATGTGTTCTATTTCGTACAGTTCTGTCAAGTACATAAAGATCAGGCTCACCTCAAACACAATGTAAAAAGACTCACCGCATGTAATCAAATGCAAGAATTATTATTATTTATATTTATTATAATAAATGGGCAGAGAAAGTAAAGTAGAAGCGGCACAGGAATGATTTATTCCCACCATGAAGCATTGTCCCACTTTGAAGGGCAGATCTAATTGGAAGTTGTTGTTGGATTAACAGGAACAATAGTTATTAACCAAAAAGTTCTCATGTAATTTGTTTTGGATGCTTATACAGTTCCCACAAGCCGTTTGGCTCAGTATTCCTCCAAACCAATTCTTTCACTGGTTAATCATCAAAATGGCAAACTAATAAACAAATACACTAAGTTACAAAATTTGTTTAAACATGATATATGTAAATAATAATAATAATAATCCTTGTGTTTGACATAGCTCATTTCACATGGTGGGGGAGTGGGGGGGATCTCAAAGCGTTTCACAAGTAGTGACTGTGTAGTTGTGTAGGTAACCGGGTAGTTAATTTGTGTAAAGTCCTACAAACAGCCACAAAGTGAATGATGTACTGCATCTGATTATTGGCGGCATTAACTCACAAAAACTCCCTTCTCTTTTCGGACAGTGCTATGGGATCTTTCATCTCCACCTAAACATGGGGTTTAATTTCTCATCCGAAGGACCATCCAATAATGCAGCGCATCCCCAGCACTGCTTTTAAGTTTTAGAATACTCTCTCTTTCTCTCTCCATAGAACTAAAAACACCTTTCTGAGGTTATTTGAGTAACTCCCATAAAGTTATTCAGAGTGTCTCTGACTCTCTCAATTTTTTTTATTGTATTGAAAACACGCTTGATTACAGCATATAAGGGATTACTTTCAGTCATGGTGGAATGGATCACACTGTGGGACAGGAAGATTGGTTTAGTGGGCTGTTGGAAAGGTAGGAGTGCAAGTTACACTATTTCCCAGTAGGTTAAGAGCTCCCCATTAGAGATTGGCATAAAGAGGAGCACTGACCCTAGTCACCTGCAGGTGGGTCAGCTCCAGACTGCTGATGTTTTCCTCCGTCAAAGTACAATGACATGAGTTTCTGTAAACTTCAACCTCTCCGCACATCAAACTCTAGAGGGGAAAAAAACATGTGGTGGACTTGGGGCTTGAAAAGTCATTTGTGCAAAGGCATTCCATATTCTATCAATCCTTTACCTAAACAATTACAGGATTCGGTTACTCTCCTTTTCCTTTTTTTTAATGATCTTTAATATTTTTTACTGATGAATTCTCCTTGACATTCCCCCAAGCGTTCTGCAAACTCTGATTGATCCGATAACTGATGGCATTTTGGGTCAGGTAGAACTATGTTTCACCAACAAAAAGAAACGCAAACTGCGATTGCAGCACAAAACAATGTTGTAAGTCCATCAGTTGAGTCACTCATCAGGACCAACACTGTTGCTGGTCTGGGTCTTGATTGCAGTCTGTGATACACTTTACAACAGGCAATCAGACAATTTATGGTATCCAAAGCACGACATAGCGATGCTCAATCAATAGTGTGGATAAAGGTGGGATATGTGGACAGCTATAAGAGCTTTGAAAAGTGGAGCCACATTCACGGACTGGGTATGGGCAGCCATGCCTGTACAAGTCACCCAGAAAGATGATACACCTGTTTGCCTATCTCATGATAATGCCCTTACAAAGGTCCTCTGGTCTGCAAAGTCACAAGTACCCTTTGATAAGCAGAGAGTTTCGCAAATGGATAAAAGCATATTGCACCACTGAGCACAGATAGTAGCAACCCGTTCGGCAGAATAACGTAGTTGTAGATTTATGGTGAGATCCGCACTATCCAGTGACTGAGGAAAGGCCACTAATGGAGCTGAGTGCTGCAGTTTGAAGAACACGAGCTCCATAATTGGATGTCACAGCACAGCATCTATGGTGAACGGTAGCAGGACACACCTTTAAAATTAACATCAGTGAAGAAAGTGGACGTAAAGTTGTCATCACTGAGAACAAACAGCCTGAGTGGTTTACTGTCCATTCACATGAGCACCAACAGATCGATTTGCCAACGGACCTTCCAGCAATGGACTGTGTGCTGCACAGTGTGTGCATCTATAAGATAATATTATGTATGTGAAGCTCCTTCAGTGGGACGTGTACTGCAGACGGTATCGTTAAGCAGCGTGTGGCTGAGTACCCGCTTACAGTATGTGCACTGTGTGTGTGTGTGTGAGGAGTGAGCAGTGTATATGTTGTTCCATGACCTGCTATGTGCTCCCGTGTGCAATGTGGACATTGCGAGCGGCTGAGGTCTGAAGGTGTAGGAAAGATGAGTGGGACTCAGGGCTCAGTGGACCTGACCGCTGACCTGTGCAGTGCTTGAACACCGCGCACCGGGCCATGTGGACGCGGGTCCCGGTGATTCACGCTCAGGTCCTGTGCGAACCCGTTTCCTTCGTCGGGTATAACGGAAAGTAACGGCGCGAGTTGTATGGAAGGAGAGGGTAAGAGGGGTCCCCCCGGAGGGTACCCCGTTGGTTGGTTTTGCGTTGACTTTGAAAGCCTCGACGACAGCAACGACGAGCAGATGCGTTGCATTGGACACAAGAGCACCGAACACGAGGATGGCCCCCCCCCCCCCCCCCCCCCCTAACGCCCCCCAAACGCCCCCCAAACGCCCCCCCAAAAAAAATAAAGGAAGGCAACCGCCCAGACAGGGTACCGAGGCGGCAGCTGAGGTTGTGGCCGCCCCTGAAGGACGGGCGGACTGGGTACTCACCGGAGCCCACCCCGTGCCCCCCGCCCGGCTCCGGGCTGTCGGCCCCGCGTGGTGCGTCCCTCGGCGTCCACGTTACCGCGGCAACAGCCCCGCCCCCCCCGCCCTCCCACCCACTCGGACCCGCCCCCCTCCGTGACGTCACAGAGGCTCCCCCCCCCCACCCCACCCCACTCCCCCGACGTCAGAGCCGACTCACGTCATAAGGGCGGCGAGTCCGCACCGCGCGTGCGTGAGCCTCGGCAGGGGCGGGGCGTGCGCGACACGTGACGTGCGGCGCGCGTGTGTGCGTGTGTGTGACGTAACGTTGGGTCACGTGTGTATGTACCACACGAAGCGCTGTGTGTAAAGGGCTTCGTTTAGGTGTTGTTCGCAGAGACCCCAACTCTTCCCTCCGCAAACTGCAGGTCATCCAGACCTCTGCAGCTCGTGTCCTCTCCCCCACCCCTCGCCCGGCTCCGTGACCCCATCGCCCCCCCCCCCCCCCGCCCGGCTCCGTGACCCATCGCCCCCCACCCCCCCCCCGGCTCCGTGACCCCATCGCCCCCCCCCCCCCCCGGCCCCGTGACCCCATCGCCCCCCACCCCCCGGCTCCGTGACCCCATCGCCCCCCCCCCGCCCGGCTCCATGACCCCATCGCCCCCCCCCCCCCCCCGCCCGGCTCCATGACCCCATCGCCCCCCCCCCCCGCCCGGCTCCGTGACCCCATCGCCCCCCACCCCCCCGCCCGGCTCCGTGACCCCATCGCCCCCCCACCCCCCGCCCGGCTCCATGACCCCGCCCCCCCCCCCCCTCGCCCGGCTCCGTGACCCCATCGCCCCCCACCCCCGCCCGGCTCCGTGACCCCATCGCCCCCCACCCCCCGCCCGGCTCCATGACCCCGCCCCCCCCCCTCGCCCGGCTCCGTGACCCCATCGCCCCCCACCCCCGCCCGGCTCCGTGACCCCATCGCCCCCCACCCCCGCCGGCTCCATGACCCCATCGCCCCCCACCCTCGCCCGGCTCCGTGACCCCATCGCCCCCCACCCCCCGCCCGGCTCCATGACCCCATCGCCCCCCACCCTCGCCCGGCTCCGTGACCCCATCGCCCCCCACCCTCGCCCGGCTCCGTGACCCCATCGCCCCCCACCCCCGCCCGGCTCCGTGACCCCATCGCCCCCCACCCCCCGCCCGGCTCCGTGACCCCATCGCCCCCCCCCCCGCCCGGCTCCGTGACCCCATCGCCCCCCACCCCCCGCCCGGCTCCGTGACCCCATCGCCCCCCACCCCCCGCCCGGCTCCGTGACCCCATCGCCCCCCCCCCCCGCCCGGCTCCGTGACCCCATCCCCCCCCCCCCCGCCCGGCTCCGTGACCCCATCGCCCCCCACCCCCGCCCGGCTCCGTGACCCCATCGCCCCCCACCCCCGCCCGGCTCCGTGACCCCATCGCCCCCCCCCCCCCGCCCGGCTCCGTGACCCCATCGCCCCCTGGGCAAGTTTCCTCACTCCACACACCTCTGTTTACATTTCTTTTTTTAAAAAATGGTCACTGAATCCATGACTGTTTGTGGGACACTGTTGTGCGCAATTGGCTGCTGCGTTCCACCCACAAAATATAGTCTTCCCTCCACTTTACAGTATATTCTGTGAAGCGCTTTGAGACATCTCGATGATGTGATAAGGCGCTATATCAAATGCACAGATTATTAATATTGTGCGCAATACACAATATTGTGAATGTAATAATAATAATAATAATCCTTGCATTTGATATAGCGCTTTTCACGTCGGGAGGACGTCCCAAAGCGCTTCACAGAACACACTGTAAAGTGAATTGACTGTATATTTGTGGGCGAACGCGGCAGCCAATTGCGCACAGCAATGTCCCACAAACAGTCGTAGATTGAAAATGACCGATTTATTATTCGTTTGGAGGGATTATTATTAGGCTCTGTGTGGAGTAAGGAAACTTGCCCAAGGTTTCGCCCTCTGCCTGGAATTGAACTCAGGTCTCTCACTTGCAAAGCGAGTGCTCTAACCACTGAGCTACAGGACTCCGAATGTATTATGCAATGTATGTATTACGCATTTGTGTGAAACACGTTATATGAGTAATATATATGCAATTGCATGGAAAATGTAACATAATACTTCAAGCACTCTGGGATGCTGCCCTGCATGAGGGATGCTATATAAATGCAAGTTATTGTACTGTGACGTATGCATTATTAACCTTTTAAGGCATCCCAGCAATAAGGTCAAATTTTCCCTAATTAGGCCAAGTTATCAACATGTCAGAGAGTCCAGTACTAATGATTGAAACAAATAACGTCTGAACATATGTCAAGGATTATTTTTCCAGAAGTGAAGAATGATGCTGTTTGATCTGTTGCAAAGCACTGTATTTTATTTCATCAAATGTAAACATATATTACAATATTTACAACTAGTCAGGACACACTTTTTTACAGAAATGACCTGCACCATTTAAAGTAAAATCCACACATTGACTGTGTTGGAAGGCTCATTCAATAAATCTAATTAATATGTAAACCAAATGCTTTTGGCACCGACTATTAATTAGTTAGAAACACGAGCACAAATGTTGTAATATTTGCAACTATGTGGGTTTAAACTTCAAAGAAAGAATGAGAGTTGGTTGCTTATTAAAATATCATACCAACCTGTATTAAATGGCTCTGACTAAATAATGTACTGTGTAAACAAAAAAACGTTATTGACAGTGAATATCAAATACCTGTAGGAACTTGCATTTTCTAGTTTAACTAGGTGTAGACAAGCTGACAAGCTAAGGAAGCTGAAAGTACAAACCAGAAACAGATAACTTGGTCAATTCCAATTCAAATAAGCATTTCATTTTGGTATTAGATTGGTTTTCTGTCTAGCAGTAGGTGACCTTTACAATTCAGCAATAATATTTTTGCCATTCTTCCAACCTGCTTTATAGATAATCTTTTTCCTGGAAACAATTTTGACACACTCCTAAGGAATCTGATGCATCTCCTAGCATCCAGAAAAATTCTCACAAAAGATTGATTATATATTTTTAAAAAAGGTCAGAAAATATTTTGGAGATATGTGCCTTCCAGTCAATCTATTTCCAGTGTATATGCAGATGAGAGCTGAAGAAGTCTGTCTGGATAAGCTGATCTTTCCAAACTTTCTGAGCTCACATATATATTTTTCTCTACAGAAATTGAAATTAATACTTGGTGTACATACAGATCTGATCTGTTTTATGACCCTCAGTTCCAACTATCCACAAAGCTGCTTGACATCATTCACATCAGGTCATTCACTAAGACATTGAGAAAAATGTCAAACTTTAGCTCACAGCTGTCCAGAGAAACCGACTGATTAAAGTGTCTTTTACTGGTAACTGCATCCCTGCAGTGCAGCGCTGTAGTGCTAACTTCTTCTTCTGAAGTGCTCGCTATTCCATTTCTGCTACTTCAGTATTCAGCTCCAGCTTGAACTACTCTACCACTATTACTATTCCACCCTCCTGAGACGTAACTACTCCAAGGCTAGCTTCTCCAGCTCTCCCTAACTCAAACTCTAACTCCAGTTCTTGCTACTCCAGATTAGCTTCTCAAGGATTCCAGTGATAGTTGCTCCACATACTCCAGCTCCAGGTTCACTCCAGCTTTGTTGGCTTCCTGTGTGAGCCAGAAGCTGAGCGATTCAGTCATTGCGAAAGATAGTACAGATCGGGAATCGAACCTCTAGTTTAGTGTCCATTGCTACAACATTGTCTACTAGGCAATCAAGAAGCTATAGAAACTCAGATTTAATCATAAAGTACTCAGTAGCACAATTTTCATTCTATTTATTTACTTATGTATGATCTAGATCTAGGTTATCAGTATCAGACCTTAAATGGATTTGTCCAACATAGGTTAAGAGTTTCATAGTGAATTTCAGAGTTTCCGTGTACGAAAATGGATGTAAAGTGTAGGGCTAACACATATACTTTGAACTGGACAGGAATACTGAATATCTAACATTTGCAGTAACAGATGGGACTGGATAAATCTATCATGTGTTTATGAATGTTTTGTAGACCAGGTTTTAATTGCTAGATCCTTATAATTATTTCAAATATTCTAACATATTGTATTATTTGCTTTTTTTTAAACTTTTACTGATTGTTTTGGTAAAGTATATCCTGCCACTGAATATAGATAATAATAATTGACCCTGTTTATTCAAAGTACACATGAATAATTAAATGTGCTATTTGATTTAGGCCTTGAGCACAGAACTGGTGGACATATGTATGAAATTCGCAAACCTCAAGTCAGGTTACATTTTAGTAAGAATTTTTTTCCCTTACAAAGTAGTGAATAAATGGAACAGATTTCCAACAAAAGTCATGCCAATTCTGTCCTTTAAAAATGATGTTGAAATCCACACAGAATGTTATAGGGACTGGTGCAGACTGAATTGAACAAATACTCAATGACAGAATGGTTTCTTTGCCAGAGCCTTGGAGATGGGCAATGTTTTCTGTCACAAGAGGATCCAGAGTGAAGAGTGGAGGTGTGGGACTGAATGAATACTCTGGAGTTTTAGCTTGATTACCTTTAGAGATCTATAAGAATGTTCTCCTTGTTGGTAGATTGGCTGGTTGGAGTCCACAATGGGGTGGTTTATTTATGGTCTGTGGAAGCAGCAAACTAAATGGGCTCTACTAATTCCACATTTTCTTAACACTTGAATCCTTTGCCCACAGTCAGGCTATTTGTTTAAACATACGTAGATCAGTTTCCAAAAGGTTGAGTAGTTATTTCGCATTCTCCTTCCTTTTCTTGATTTTCTGAGTATTCCTCTGTATCTATAAGTATATTATCTTCAACCTGTGATAGTGAAAAACAAACTTGTTCGTTGTTATTTGTCACAAATTGATGGCTGCATAACCTCATCTCCAGCCATTGAAATTTGACAATCATACTCAAAGTCTTTGAAAAGATTTCCGCTGCGTCAGGTACATTGAGTTTGGCAATGAATACTTATACACAGTGAGCAACACATATTCCAATACAACTG